TCTGCCACAGACTTCCCATGTGGCCTTGGTCAAGTCATTTAAGGTCTGATCTTGCAGCAAGGAAGGAAGACAAAGGCTCAGGCTGTTAATTGCTTTATGCCTCATTTCTCCCAGGTGTAAAATGGGGAAATTACCCTTCCCTGCTTCACTGAGGTGGGGTGGCCTTGTTAGCGCTTGTGACGTGCTTTGAGAACCTCAAAAGGAACGCCATAAAGAAAAGTGTTGTTTGCATTTCATGACATGACTTCCTGGCCCACAAGAAACAGCCACTTCTTTTGGCTCTGATAGTATTACCTGCACGTAACATTTTTGCTGGTGCTCAATGTTGTTTAAATTTACACATAAGTTTTTAAAACTATAGCAAAATATTAACATAATATAAGGACCAAGTGTAGCAAGACGGAAAGCACCCCAGCCTTTCAAAGTCCTATATAAAGCAAATAAGTTGTAGCAAGCTGCCTAGTATCTCTGTGTACAGCTGCCCTCTACTGTATGAAATCAGAACAGATGAACTATGTTTCATATGCACTATGCTGCTAACCACTGAAGGAGATTCACCCTTACTTTTATCCCGATAATCACACTCTGAAATGTAGGCTTCTGTGGCCCAGTTGCAACCACACAGTGCCAATTTGTAACACTAAAGTCTTTCCTCGGACCAATCCTGGTTGAACTATGAGCAATGGAATCTGATTCAAAATTACTTTTTTTCCCTTCCTTGTGTCTAAATAACAGTGAAAAGCAGCTACTCCAACATGCAATGCCAGCTCTATATGCCACTAAAGGATACAAGCCTGACCTTTTCGCTAGCTTTGGCATTTAAAACAAAGCAGCGCTGCAGAAAGGCAACAGCTGCAACTTTTTTTATTATAAACCCAAAAAGCTGGGCAGCTGGATTTTTTTAATTGGCCGCTCCAACAACAGGGGACTTGTGAAATTTGTTTGCTGGTTGCACTGTTTAACAATTGCCAGTGGGGGGCGCTGTGGGGCAGGCGAGAAGGAAGACCAGGTTGTGTACAGCCTAGGGTTTAGAGGAAAAAGTTTTTGTTGAAGTGTGGAAGCGCCTGGACATAAAACTCCCCCTTCTGCAATGAGAAGAGAGGCTTTAGGTGAGTTAAACTGGTTTCCTTGGCTTCACATTTTCCCTGCGTGTACCTTTTTCTACATGCGTCCCTTCCAGCGGTTTTGTACCATGCACAAAGGTCTTGCTGGCTCAGGAAAGTGCCTCTCTGAGCGCGTGACCTTTGTGCCAAGGAAAGGAGAAAGATCTGCTGGGAAGAAACAGGGCGGGTGTCCTTTGCCTTTGGGTGCCACAAAGCTTCCATGGCAAAGCGCAGGTGTGTGTGGGCTGCAAAGGAACCCGCCCTATTCCTGCGGGAACTTTGACCTCCGTCAGTGCAGGAGCAAACTTTGTGCTTGATACAGACCAGATCTGGCGAGACCGGGCCAACTCCAAATTTGGAGCCTGATCCTACATCCCTTGCCAGGCTGGGATTGGGCACTTAGGGAGGTTAAAAATGACCCTGTAAAATAAATGTGCAATCCATGCACCATTCCACGTACCAGCAGGGTGAGGGCAGCTTTGAGCCTAGCCTCCATGGGAGTCTTGGTACAGACCAGACCTGGCGAGACACGAAAGATGTGGTGCAGCTGCAGGGGAGGCCGCGCCCTAAAACAGGCAGCTGAGGGGCTGCGGGTGATTGGGAGCAGAGACAGAGTCCTGTGATCGGCTCCTTCCAGGCAAAGGACTAGTGTCAATATCCCAGGATTCACCAACCCTCCCAGGCTTCCGTGGACGGGGAAATTTGGGCGACTGTTCTCAAGAGTCTCTGGCCTCAAGCCCTTTTGGGTCCAGGTCGAACGAGGAATGATCTGAGATGAAGAGCAAACTGAAAAAAGCCTTTCAAACTGGCCCTTTCCGGCCTTTTCCCTGGCAGCCAGGACCCCCCAGCATCAAATACAGCCTCTAAATAAAGTTAACCATGCGAGGGGAGACTGAGGCAGCAACCCACAAGAGGTGAAGAGAGGAGCAGCCTCTCTGCACCTTTGGACGGGGCTCCTAGCTCCTAACCCAGTGCCATCCGTGACCTGTGTGACGTGCCCCAGCTCTGCTAGAAGGGCCCATGCCCACAGACAGAGCCCTGCTGTCTTAAAAGGAGTTGTTTAAAAAAAAAAAAGTCTCCAAGCCTCACTCTAAATCCTGCCTGTTCTTTGCTAGCCCTTTCCGAAAGCGCGATCCAGATCAATGAGCCACGAACGCGCCTCCATGCTGGTGAAACACAATGGGCGATGCGCCTCTGGTTCTTCCAATTTCTACTTTCACTGCTTTTGCCTCAGTGAAATCAGAGACAGGACCCCCCCCCCCCCCCCCCCACACACACACACACACACACACAGACCGCAGCCCCAGATGCCAAAGGGGTTTTGGATCTGGCTCTGAACAGCTGGAATGTGTTTGATGTCTTCCCCTGCCAAATAGCACAGGTGATTCAGACAGAAACCGCACAATCATTCACACCCAGCTACTACCCACCCTTATTTCAAATAATCCTTCCAAAACAAGGAGCTATTGCTCACACTGGTCTTTTTGGCAGATCAAGAGAGTATGCTACGGGAAACATCGCGTCCCCATTAGAGATGGTGGCATTTTACTGAGCAGAGAGATATACCAACGATACCTCCCCCTCTCTGCCCCCCATTGCTTTTTAAAATATAAGAGGCTGTTTTTCCATTTACCTGAGATGGCAGGTGGTACTTTTCAAAGGTGCCACCTCCGCTAGCTAGTCCAGCTACTAAACAATTCCCAAAGCAATTCTGATCTCACTTTTAGGGATGCAAATCCACAGTCACTCAGCTGGAGTGGATGGAATTGCTCGGGGTTTACACCTTGGTTAAATGAGGTTGGAATCCGATCACATATCCTCAAAATGATGCACAAACACAAGCTGACCAGTGCTAGAAGATCAGCAAACTAGATACAGTCCAGCCGTCTGCAGTGTCCTCTATATACCTACCTACCGTATCTGGAAGGGCCAGCATTTTCAGAGTTGGATGCTTAAAGCAAAAGATCCATAGCTATATTTAGCCACCTAAAACATTGGGTTAGTTGGGGTTGGTCCTGCTTTGGGCAGGCGGTTGGACTGGATGACGCCTGAGATCTCTACCCACCCTAGGATTCTGTGAGTCTAAAACATTGTCCTGATTTTCGGAGATGCTGAGTATTAGCAACAACTACTGAATTAGGACTTGTCCATGCTTAAAAACGAGATACCCTAGCTACATGGTTCAGGGCTATGAAAAATGTCTCACCTCGAGCACAATAGTTACACCTCACCACGGTGTAGAAGCAGCTAGGTTTATGGAAGACTGATTCTGTCAACTTAAGTACTGCCTTTCAGGCCGCTGGATTAACTGCAGGCCCTCCGACTGGCATGGTGGAATCTTAGTTCCCATCCCTGAATCAGGTCCCTTATTTATTTAAATGCCCAGATACAGAAAAAGGTTCCCAAATTTTGGCACTCAAGTTTGAACCCTTTGACCTAGGCACCTGATGTCTTAGCGTCTACACACCCAATCTTTTGTGTCTATTTACATTGAAACCTCTGGCGGGTGGCAGCTACCTGATGCTCGACTTGTGGCAAGCGGTGGTGAACGTTCCGCCATCCAATCAGATCAGATTCGTATATTTCAGTGAGCTTCAACCCAGCCCAGCTGTACCATGCTCCCTGGATCCCCGGGCAGATCTGTTATGGACTCTTCCAACACCAGCGCATTTTTAAAATGATGTTTCAGAAAACGATCTGAGAAGTGGCACTTTCCCCTTCGTGCCTCTTCGCTCCTCACTGGTGAAGTTCTTTAAAGCTCAGACAGTTTCAGAAGCAGGCACTGCATAGAGGCGGGAGAACAATTTCCTTCCAGGGGAAGCCTTGTAGTAAGGCACCTGCTGTTTACACATGCGCCTCCCGAGTGGGTCTACTCTGCTGCTGATCCATGCAGCAAGTGGAATCTTTCCACACTTCAAAAGCGTTATACATGCAACTCGGTGACTGACTTGCATACCTTATTTCACACAGATCAGCAGGGTTGTACTACACTAGACCCCAGGGAGTTCCCTGGACAGTTTCATCGCTGGTGTAAATTCCAGGGACGGATGCCACTTCTTTATCAGATCACTTTAGCTTTGCACCCAAATTACTGCAATTAAACAGCGTCCCGCCAGCAAGCCAGAATCTGAGCATATTGTGCATATTGAACAAGCAATGGGAGCACGTTAACCATTGATTCTAACGATGCCTGAATAAAAAAGGTCGTTTAAAAACCACCACCGAATCCAAAGCAGCAAAACGCCGACTTACCACCAAGATCAGTGTTCCCAGGCACTCGGCCAGTGCCTGCCTCACCAGTTTGTTTCTGATGCGCAGCATCTCCCCAATTCTTGCAAGAACTTCCTTTTGCCTCCCCATTGTGGCTTCGGTTTTCTTCTCTGGCCCAGAGGTGGCTGGTGAGTTTGCAGCTCCTTGCCTTGGTGCGTGGAACTCTTATCTGTTGCAGCCCTGTGTTTGCTTATAAATAAGTCGAAAGATCCCTGAAACACCGCCCCTAAGGAAGCACACCCCTCCCACCCTCTCCTTGAATGCCACTTTTTCTTCCCAGCATGGGACTGAGTGGGCGGTTTGCTCGGGTGAGGGGGGGTTATTATTATTACTCATCTAGGCAGGCTGTAGACACATGAGTGTCTGGGGAAGGGGGAACCTCCCCATCCTGCTTGCGTTATTTCCGTGTCCCTCCAACAGCACAGACAGCAGAATCTGCCCCACTCCTCGGTCAGAAATTCACCTGGGCAAACGCAGCAACTCAACTTGCATGTGCTGCTGAACTCTTCACAGCACAGTGATTTCTGGTTTCCTCCTTGGCAGAGTCTTCGTGACTCGCGCTCCTGTGCAGTACAGGGGATTGGGAAACTTAAAAAAACACAAATGGTCTGGTAGCACTTTATAGACTAACAAAACATGTCGATGTATCATGAGCTTTCGTGAGCACAGCCCACCTGTTAGTTGTTCTAGTGATCAAATAATGGGGAACAGGGCCTGGTTTTCCTCACCCTTATCCCAGTTGGGGGCCAGTGGAATTCCACGGAGCTCAGTTCCTAACCCCAGCATCAAACTGGTGTGGTGGAGCGGGAATCAGGTCCAGAAACGATCCTCGCTCGAAACCCTCGCGCCAGACCCCAGATCTGAACGCACAACCCGACTCGTTGCCTATCTATACAGCTTGCACATCTGTCCGGAGCTCAGGGACCGGGCTGGGTACCGTGCATGTGTTTCAGCACGACCCGACTTAGGAAAGAGAAGGGAAAATAAGAATCCAGGCGCAGAGCAGTTCAGTTCCCAAAGGCCACCCCCAGGGGACGCTGCATCATGAAATTAACAAAAGGATCTGCCAGAAAATGCCTGGGCAGAGTTGTGTGCTGGGTGTAGGCGAGCACTGTTCTGGCCCGTTTCATTGGATCTGTGTGAAATGGTTTGTGGCTCCCTGTTTGTCTTTGCTCTCAGTCACCTCTGCCTGGACTCCTGGGCAGCAGTTCAGAGCCAGCACGGAGGAAAGATGTCACACTAACCCGGACTAGTTAGGTCACCTGCTGTTATTTATGCCTCGTTCCTCTTCGTTAAGTAGTAAAAAAAAATCCAATTTGGGGTCTTGATCGCACTCCACACACATCCCCAGCCTTCACTGCGGCTCCGAGCCAGCCGTGAACAGCAGGGCCAAGGAATTTGCCAACTTTGCAGGTGAAAAAAAATTCCCCTGCTGTGCTTCCCACTCCCCTAACACACCTTGCATAAAGCCACACCCTGCAGAAAGATTTCTCTGACTTGCTTTTAGTTAACCCCTGGCACAGAGATTTTCACTGCCACCATTATTTAGGGCTTTATTCTGCGTGTTAACTGCAGCTGCACAGGAACTAGAAGCAGCCCAGATCACGGTGGTTTCACACTGTCAAACCATCTGTGTGAAAATGCAACCACAACACCGTTTGTCGTGGGGGGAGGGGGTGGCAAACCCCAGCCCCCAAGCCGCATGTGGCTTTTTTACAGTTAAAATGTAGCTCAGAAAGTTCTCTTTGTGGGAGGATTCCAATGTGTATTTTTTATAATGTTGACGGATCATATTTATTTTCAAATAATAATATTCAAATAATAATAATATTTATTTTTCAAATAATATTTTTTTCCATTAAAATATTCACAGCTGTGGGGAAATCTACTGCTTGAAGTAACTGTCTCAGGTATTCCGGATGCGGCTTCCCTTTTTAACTAATCTGCTGGAACATTCCGGACCTTTGTAGACTCTCCCGGAAGCTTCCAGATGTCGGTGAACTGCGTTCCCCTCAAACCTCCCTGCCTCAAATGTTGTCAGCCGTGACATACGAGGGGTAAGACGTCACCAGTGAGTCAGGGCGATGTCAGAAAGTGACGTGAGGTGACATGAGAGCCCTGCTGTGATACTCTGCGCCTTGTCTTGGTATGTCATTGTGGATGTGGACTTGTGTTTCAAGACCTGCAGAGTGTAAGTAGCAGCTGTTAAAGGACACGTCAGGTACATCTAGACTACAGGCTTTTGTTGACAGATACTGTCGACAAAGCTTCTGTCGACAAAGAGCATCTAGACTACATCCAGTTCTGTTGACAAAGTTTCTTGCTTTGTTGACATGAGAGTGTAGACGCAAAGGCCAGTGTAGATGCAATAACGCCTTCTGTGGACAGAACTCTGTTGACAAAAGGCGTTATTCCTCGTAGAATGAGGTTTACCGCCGTCGACAAAACTGCCGACTTCTGTCGACGTTATGTCGACAGAACTCAGGAGCAGTGTAGACGCAGGTATTGTTTTGTCGACAAAAGTGGACTTTTGTTGACAAAACCCTGTATATAGGCACACCCATCGATTGAGACACCTGAGGTATATATGGAATCCCTATGTACGCAGCGAGAGAAAAGACGTACTGCTCCTCCTTTCCCCATGCTTAACTCCTAGCGTTTGATGACTCGATGGCGATACATTTCAGTTCCTCGTCACATTAAAAAATTTCCATAAGCTTTGTGGGTGAGGGGGTTATTTCCTGCTCTATGGCATATAGAACCTAAATACGGATGTACAGACCCTGGCATGCAAAGATCAATCAGACATGCAAATTATGCAGCCACCTCATGCAATGGGCGACGCTGCAATTAAAAATACGGCAGGCTAAAGTGGCAGGTTTGGTGCCGAAAAGGTCCGGGCCCGGCCCTGACAATGGGTCAGGTTGGCTTAAGTGCGTCTCTCAGTGGGGGTTTCCCACACCTGAGCATGTAGATGGGTCAGCTTTGAGGGCAGACCTGAGGAAACAGGCCTGCCGAGGGGGGCCCAAGGGGCGTGGCTATGGGCCCCGGCGATTCAAAGGGCAAGGCCTAGGCCATTCAAATACCCCTTCCATTTTGGCAGTGACGGAGGAGGCCGGAGCTCCAGACCCTTTACGTTGCAGCCCTGAGGCCCGGGTGTGAGGTAGGAGTGACACCGTGTTCCTGAGCACTGCTCAAGTGCGTGGTGGAGCCGCAGCCGGACTCGCTCGCGCTTTGCTGGGTCCGTGCGCGGGACGGGCAGCGCCCTGGGATCTGCATGTTTCTGGGTCAGTCCTGCTCCCTGCCGGAGCAATGTTGCATCCCAGAGCAATGTTGCATCTCCTCAAGCCACTGGCACCATATGAGGGAAGATTGGTCTATCCTAGAACAGATGAGCACATAGAATGGTGGCATCTCACACTCACTTTGCACAGGTGTCCGAGGCTGCAAGAGGGGCAGGGAATGGCAGATTAGACTTTCCATCTGAGCCTTTCATCTCGGCCCTCTGGTTCCGTCCTGTCTCTTCCTCTTCCCTGCTAGCCTTCTGCAAAGCTCCCTTCCCTGCTAGCCCTCTGCAAAGTCCCAGTCCCAGACACAGTGTTGGAGAAGAATTGCCACATTAAACAGCAGGGATGTGTAGAAATAAGCCAGTGTGTATGTCCCAGCTTGGGGCTTGCTCTCTCGCCGTCTGCAGTGGGGAAAATTCTTAAGTGCTGAGGGGAGGGGTGGAGGGGGAGGAAAGATGCGAAAGAGGAAGTAATTAGCCCCATTACTTGAAGCCAGCGATTACACAGCCATGCAAAGCAGCCAGCGATTTCCAAGGGCGCCTTGGGAAGCCCGGCCGCACTCGATAGCTCCCTGATGCTGCCCTGGTGCTTAGCTACTAAACCGAGCTTTGCAAATAACCATGAGATGCTTGAGTGGCTCACAGCTCCAAGAAGGGGAGATGGCTAATTGTAGGCTCTGGGCCAGATTCCTGCCTGCACCGGCAGGAGAAATGTTCTGTATTTCTGACACCGGGCTTGCTCCCTTTGCTGCATGTCTTTTGGGGTAATACCAGTCTGCAGGACTTTTCCCTGTCTGTTCTCAACCTCCCGTCCTGGAAGCTTTCCCTTCGCTGACACCCAGGAGTGAATTTAACCCGGTATTTTGGGAGGGAAGGGAACCAGGCAGCAGGCCCGACAGCCACTGCGGGCACCAGGGGG